TGGTATTTTTCCAAATTATCTTAAATCAGCATACTAAAGTGATACATGCATACCCATGTTTATAGCAGCACAATTCGCAATAGCCAAGTTATGGAACCAACTTAGTTGTCTATACACGGAAAAATGAATTAAAAATGTGTATACACAATGGATTTTTACCCAGCTATACAAAAGAATAAATTTTGTCATTTGTTGGTAAATGTTTGGGACTGGAGAACAACATGATAAGTAAAATAAGCCAGACTCAGAATGTCAATGTTTTCTCTCATCCATGGAAGCTAAAGACAGAAATAAAGAAGAAATACAAAATAGAAGAGAGACCACAAGACTAGAGGAAGGTGATTTAAAGGGAGGGAGGATGGGAGGGCATGGGCAAGTAATGAGCTACAAAATATACCAAGTTATGTCCATGTATGACCATACTTCAATGAATCCTACATATGTGTGTGTGTGTGTATGTATATGTATAAATAATTATGCACTAACTAAAAAAATAATGAGATCAGTAGAGTAGACCTAGAAACAGGTACTACATACTTCTTTCTGCTAGGTGTGTAGCACATAGAACAAGTGGATGGGGGAAGGGAAGAGGAGAGAGAAAAGGAAGAAACTAGGGAACAATATTGGTCAAATTATATCATATGCATGTGAAAATATGACATAATGACTACCACTATTAAGTATAATTATAATGCACCAATTAAAATACTTTTTAAAAAGAGAATAAGGAGAGACAGTAACAAAATATACTCTTTGAAGGTATACTCCCAATGACCCACTTCCTCCAACTAGACCTTGCCTACCAAAGTTTCCACAATCTCCCAATAGCTGTTGTTATGAATTGGTAGACTATCCCATTGATGAAATTAGAGCCCTCATGATCCAATCACCTCCCAAGGGCTCTATCTCTAACCATTGCTGCATTGGGAACCAACCATTCAACACATGTTCTCTGGGGGGACATTTGATATCCAATCATAACATTCTCACAAGAGTGTTGTTATAAAACACCTGAGCCTGGTCCCACTAAACTCTCTAACTTCCTGTTTGTCAAGAAATTTCTTGTTTCTATACATGTACCTCCAATTACCTCCATCATACTGTAATATAGCCAGTAGGCCCCCCACCAGGACTGAGTAGATGTCAGAACTATACTCTTAAATCTCCAAACTGTGAGCTAAATAAACCTCTTTCCTTTATAAAGTTAGTCTGTCTCAGGTATTTCATTGTAGTGATGCAAAACCAACTAATATAGGCTGTGTTCAAGATTTTTTTTGTATGTATTGTTTTCATCAGTTTGAATATAATGTGCCTAGGAATGGTTTATTGGAAGCTCTGAACTGCTTGTAGCTATGGTATAGTGTGTATGAATTAATTTTGAGACATTCTCATGCCTTCATAAATTAAAAAGCAATAAAATAAATTCTCTTCCATCCCTTCTTCTTTCTGGAATTTAATTAAACTTATATTAGTCTGGGTTATATTATAACTCTTTTCTGTTTTTTTTTAATTTTCTCTTTTATGGTTCAATATTAGTAATTTATGTTGACTGATCTTCATGTTTACTGATCCTTTCTTTGGCTGTTTTTTGTTTGTTTTGTATTGGGGATTGAACCATATCCCATCCCTTTTTAGAGTTTTAATTTTTTTCTGAGATAGGGTCTTGATAAGTTACCCACACTGGTCTCAAATTTTTTATCTTTCTCCCTCAGATTCCTAAGTTGCTAGGAAAGTGCCACCATTCCTGTCTCTTCATTAGTTTTGAGACTACTTGTGACCTTGTTAAAGGTATTAGATATTTCTGCTATGTATTTTTCCCACTTGTAGCATATTCATTTAGTTCTTTCTTAGGTTTTTCATTTCACTGCTTCATTTATCTGATGATCTTGAATGATTTTAAACTTTTCTGGGAGCCTTTAACATGTTAATCATAATCATTTAAAAGCCCTTGTCTTATAGGTCTGTGTCATATCAGATTCTGGTTCTGACAATTACTTTGTTTCTTGGGATTGTGATTTTTCTTAACATTTTGTATGTCTTGATTTTTTTAAGGCAAGCATCTTATGTAGGATGTTAGAGATGGAGGTAAATAATTCTTAGACCTAGAAACAGGTACTACATACTTCTTTCTGCTAGGTGTTTAGCACAAAGTTTTGAGTCAGCCTAGTTGTGTCTACCCTCCATGTACCACAGGCTTAAATTTCCTGTAACAATTCCTTATGTTTAGGGTGAGAGTTGTTTTTTCAGAGCACTGTCTTTTAAAAAAATATTTATTTTGTAGTAATAGGTGGAAACAACATCTTCATTTTATTGTTATGTGGTGCTGAGGATCCAACCCAGTGCCCCATGCATGGTAGGTGAGCGCTCTACCTCTGAGCCACAACCCCAGCCCCAGAGCAATGTCTTTTTGACCATGGTCTTTAGGTCTTCTCTTTATACTCTGCTTCTTAAGTATTCTCTAATGCTCTTCTTCCTTTGTTCCTTTCCAAGCATATTCTTGCTACTTGAAGTTGTTTATTTAATCTTGTGGGAATTGGGAGCATGACATTTTCTGCTTAATCTCTAGTCTTAGTTATTATGCCCTGGATGTTAGAGGTATGGAGTGATTATCTTTTGCCTCTCTCCTTATGTAGTTCTGGGCCCAGTGTATATTTCTGCACTCCTTCTAAGAGTAATATTTTTCTTGTTTCCTTCCCCCGGGTACAGTTAGTTTCCACTGGCATCCTAAGAGTGACAAAGTTTGCTTCCTTTCTCTCACAGAATGAGGCATTTTTTCCTAGAGGAGAGAGAAAAATTCATGGGAGATTCTTATCTCTTTTGCATGGCTGGTGTTCCTTTCTCTAAGGTCTGAACTTCAGTGGATTCTTAAGGCTCTTTCTGGTCTTGTTCTTCAAGAATCTAATGGGGTTCATGGAGAAAGATCCTGCAAGAGATCACAGTTCCTCCAATTTCTGAGGCCCTTGGAGGCTTCACACTGTTCTATCAGCCCACATTTTACCTTTGCTAGTTCATGAATATCTCTAACTGACCTCTTCTTACTGATTTTTGGTAAGCTTACCCAAGATAAGTGAGAGATGCTCACATCTCTCTTCCTGCAATGAGCATATCTCCTCATATACAGGGCAAAATTGTTGTCTGCAAACTCAGATCTCCAATGTGTCAGAAATAATCCATGGATTTGAAGTTAGTTGGACCCCTTTATTGTTTTCACTATGGTTATGATTCGTCTTGCTTTCCCACAGTGGAAGCTAGCTCCTAATTGATGAAGTTTTGAATCTTCTTGAATCCACACCTCTCTTGCCCTCTAGACAACTGTAGTTATTCTCATACTGGAGTGTGTAGAAGTCTTTCTTCTGTTAATGCTAATGTTGACTGTTAACTGTTAGAATGTTCTGCTGTTCTTTGCAAGCAAGTGCATGTTGACTATTTGGGGGTACTCCTATTTTCAAGAATTCAGATGCAATCACTTATTCCTTTGGCTTCCACTTAGTAGAATTAGGTACCATATTATCCCATACCTCTTAGTGAATTGTCTCTATCTGTTCATATTTTGGCTTTATTGAGATATCTACTCACACCCTTTTGTTGTAAACGCTGTTTATGCTTTTAAAAATATTCTAGCTCTCTATTCATTTTAAAAATAGGTGATTCAGAGAGATTCAAAAACCTTGATGGCATTGCTGCCACTTCCCATTCCCAAATCTTCCCTTCATTTTTTTTTTCTGTTTTGGTTATTGGGGATTGAACCCAGGGGCACTTGACCACTGAGCCACATCCCCAGCCCTATTTTGTATTTTATTTAGAGACAGGGTCTCACTGAGTTGCTTAGTGCCTCGCTTTTGCTGAGGCCGGCTTTGAACTTGCAATCCTCCTGCCTCCACATCCCAAGCTGCTGGGATTACAGGTGTGTGCCATCATGCCTGGCTTCCATTCATTTTTTGAAAGATATTTTTGCTAGGCATAAAAATTCAGTTTGACAGTTACTTTCTTGATTTGGTTGATGTAGTTTGAGAATTCTGTAACTATATTGAGGGGGAAATTTGCTGAATATTGAGCTCAGTTCTCTTCCCCCTCACTCTTTACCAGAATCCTGATTCCTGAAATCTCTAATGTCTCCATCTCTAAGAGACTACCCAAGGCTCTGTTGGCTTCTCTGCTGTTAGTAGAGGCCCTCAATCCAGTCCCTCTCTCATATCCCTACCCACTCGCCTGATGGCTAGAATAAGCAAACATCCCAAAGGCAAAAGTTGCTGCAGAATATCCTCTTTTTCCTGGTTGCCTCATCATTGCTCTAATGCCTTCAATCAGATGTTTTAAAATTTTTACCTGGCTTTCCTGGTTATTTTTAGTGGAAGGATTAGTCTTATATAAAAGTACTCCATCATATTCATAATTAAAAATCTACCTATATACTAGGTATTTGATAATTAAATCTATTTTTAAGGAGCTTTAGAAACTGCTGAACTAAGGAAACTTTTTATGTAAAAAAAATTAGTTGTAGATAGCCAAAATACCTTTATTTTATCTATCCATTTTTATGTGGTGCTGAGGATCAAACCCAGTGTCTCACAAGTGCTAGGCAAGCGCTCCACCACTGAGCCACAACCCCAGCCCCAGTAAGGAGACATTTCAAGAACTTCTTTTTCAGAAAAATTCATCACTGTTCTTTCAGAAAAAAATATTCTCAAAGGTCAACAAATATGACTTAGACTGAGGGAGGTTTATATCACTGCATAATTTCCCTGAACTCTGTTTTAGTATGGAAGGTTAAAAAATTATATAAGTTAATATTAGATTCATTAGGCTTAAAAACTAGTTCCTCCTAGATACAGCAAAGACGGAAATGAGTCATCATTTATGTAGTTTTAGAGTTGGAGTTAATGAGGCACCACCAACCTATGGTCATTTTGAAGTCTACAATAGGGTTGCTGTTTACATTACTTCCTCTTCGTAGGTTAATTGTTCTAGAAAACACAAATAATCATCTGTTTGTTTTTCAGAGACTCATACATGTGCACTGGCAATAAATCACAGGAGAAATGTCCCTCTTTTTTCGATAATGAGAAATTTACCAGGGAAGAGGAAGTCCCTCAAGAGCAGAATTGGCTCTACTGATTATCGTGCCTTCTACTACAGTGCCAAAGACACCCTTAATTGTATATTCAAAATTGTGTAGAAAATTTTCAAGAGAAGATTACATTGTGATTTCTGCAAGGTCTGTATCCTGGAGGCTGTCCAGATAGGGTGATAGGGTTGTAGACAAAACTGAGAACTATCTTCTGTTCACAAGCCCTGTATTGTCATGAAAGGGAGTGCTTGGCTCGAAGCTCTACTACTAACCAGCTGCATGATGTGACTGCTCACTCACCTCTTTGCACATAAATTGTCTCAACTCTAAAATCACCCCAATGACAATGGCTTTTTAAGGCAGTTGGGAGGATCAATTGTAATGGGGTGGGGGAAAGTCAATGAAAAATTTCAAAGTGCAGAATACTGATTAGGGATCAATATGATCACTGTTTCATTCCATCTCATGCACCTGGGTCCCAGGGTTGCAAGAGGCCTAATCTCACATATCATACAATGCAGTTACCTTCTTTTCAATATCTCATACAGGTTTTTAACTACTACGTGAAGAGTTCTTTCAGAAAAGAAGTTTATTTGGCTCACAGTTCTGGAGGCTGGGAAATCTAAGGGCATGGTGCTGGCATATAAAATGACAAATGGTGAAAAGGTGAGAACAAGCCATAGAGAGAGCTGAGGAAGTCAAATTTCACTTTTATAACAGACCACTTTTGTGAAAGATAATCCACTCCTGTGATGATGGCATTGATCCATTTACAAACGTGGAGCCCTCATGACCTATACACCTCCCATTACAGCCCAGCTCCCAACATGGGGGGCATTGATGAATGAAGTTTCAGACATGTGAACTTTTGAGGCACACATTCAAATAGTAGCACTTATAAACAATGGAAGTTTATTTCTTAGAGCTCTAGAGGCTGAACGTCTGAAATCTGGGTGCCAGCATGGTCCTAGCCCGATTAGGGTCCTTTTTGAGTTTGCAGATTTCTGTCTTCTTGCTGTGATCTCACATGGCAGAAAGAGAATGAGGTAAGTCTCTGGCTCCTAGATATAAGGGCACTAAATCCCATTCAAGAGAATTCCACCCTTATGACCAAATTATCTCCTAAAGTTTCTACCTCCTAATACTGTCACATTGGAGGTTAGGATTCAATGTATGAATTTGAGGGAGAACAGTCTCATTCAGTTCATAACAGATCATTTCATGGGTTTCTTTTAGAATGACTTAGACTCTATTTTGATATATTTATACAAGCACAGAATATATCTTATTCTCTAACTAAAAAGAACAAATAAAAATAAAATAAAAGAATGACTTAGAATCTTTCTCAATCTACTTGGGATGGGCCTGGAGGTGAAGCAGTAGCCTAGATGGTCTCTCACCTTCCTTTTGGTTTATGACTCTGGCAACATGTTGAATTCTTATTTCTAGTTAGAGTTTCTGTCAAATGTTAGAATTCTCCATAGACTCCTGCTTGAAGAAGTTTGACATTTTAGAGACTGTTGAAATAAAAGAATTTTATCAAAAAATTGCTGAATTATGATTACAGATAATATTGTCCTGATAAGAGAACCTTATGTTTCTTTTCCAGCCTCATCTCCCAGCACTTTCCTTCTAATCTCTCTGTAGAAAGCAACATTTCAACCAAGAAGCAAGTAGGAATTGTGACATTTTCTCAACATCCTGAGCTCCCTGTCCTACCTCAGAAGCTAAAGGAAATCCCAAAATCCAGTTACTTCCCAAGGTCAATTCTATTTGGATATTGAATGTATACCTTCCCAAGCATTGTGATCTCCAAATGTAAGTTAAATAACAAAACAGTCTTTGTGTGTCCTGAAAACGTTTATGTCTCTCTTTATCAAGTAATGTGATTGTGTCTCATATGTTTTTGGTAATATTTAGGATGTTTACTAACTTGAGGTTTTAGAGTTACAGTTAAATTGCTTTATGTGGGTTATATATATTTCCTTTATTTTTGGGGAAAGCAAAGATATATATATATATATATATATATATATATATATATATATATATATATATATATATATATATCATGTGCTCTCCCCCAGGCTGGGAAACTTGGGAGAAAGTAGACACATCTTTAGTTTCCATTTTTTTTTTAAATTTTTTATTGTTGGTTGTTCAAAACATTACAAATTTCTTGACATATCATATTCCACACTTTGATTCAAGTGGGTTATGAACTCCCACCTTCACCCGATACACAGATTGCAGAATCACATCAGTTACACATCCATTGATTTACATATTGCCATACTAGTGTCTGTTGTGCTCTGCTGCCTTTCCCATCCTCCACCCTCCCCCCTCCCCACCTCTCCCCTCCCCTCCCCTCCTCTCTCTCTACCCCCTCCACTGTATAACCCTGAGGGTCTCCTTCCATTTCCATGCAATTTCCCTTCTCTCTCCCTTTCCCTCCCACCTCTCATCCCTGTTAAATGTTAATCTTCTTCTCCTGCTCTTCCTCCCTACTCTGATCTTAGTTACTCTCCTTATATCAAAGAAGACATTTGGCATTTGTTTTTAGTTTCCATTTTTGTAGGTGGAAACAATCAAGTGCGGAGAGATGAATACACTAGCCAAGACTGATTCTCAACTTCATCTTTGGGACATTCCAGGGTATTTCACAGGATTTCAAAATGCCTAATAAAATTGTTCTAAAATTCTCATGGCAAAGTTCATTTTAATTAAATTTAATTTATTTTGAAAAGTTGCAGCATTTGGGGGATAGAGTGGGTGAATTTTATAAGTGCAGACAAAACATTGTTTTGAATAGAACTGATGAAATGTCAAAACTCCAGGCTGAGAAGGCAGTGGACTAGTCAGTATCAGAACAAGTATTGAAGTACCCAGGTCAGGTGCTGAGAAGAATGAGCGTCTGACTCATCCTCCATGGATATGTTTTTCTATAGCCAGCATCTTGTATGAAAGCATGTTTGAGGATAATTTTCTTCTGGGAAGGGGTATAAAGCACTTGAGAATGATCCTAACAACCTTTTGGGGTGACTCAATTTTTTTTCACTACTGGAGATGAAAATATTTTAACACTTGAACAATGAGAAGTTTAGTTTGGCTGGAGCACACATCGTAATTGTAGGTTTATATTAAATATATTTGGAAAAGTAGTTTGGGGGCCATGTTTTTGAGGACTTTTTTATGATATACTGAGGTGTTCAACTTTATTCAATAGAAAATATGGAGGCATTGAAGAGTTTTGAGTAGGGGTTGGTTATAGGAGAAATATAAGATGACCAGAATTAGGAACAAGCAAAGACAGAGAAGTCAGTCAGAACTTGCATCAGTTGGATGAAAGGTGCTATGGAAGTTAAAAAACTTCTTTATGAACTCTCTTATGCGCTAGTGTTTAAAAGTAGGCCAAGTGTTACCTCTTTAATCCTACAGACTATCTAGTTATGTTGACTACTAACTCTCCTAGCTCAACTAAATAAAAGGGAAGGGAGGGATGGATGGAGGATAAAAGGGAGGAGAAATTCTTTGCCTTGCCTTTAAAAGGCAATGGTTCAGAGTGGACTTCTCAAGCTGTGTGTCAAACTTTTGGCATCACCAAGTGTGTGTAGTCCCATGAAATTCTAGGTCCAGACTATCTTTAATATATTACATGGACTACAAACATCTTTTCAACTAGACCAAGTAAGAGGCCTGTAACCCACATATGCATTCAGATCCACTACATGTGAGCTAAGCAGTGGGGCCTTATTTCATTCTGTTAGAGAAATGGAGGAAGTTTGCTATACTCAGTTCAACAACCACTATATAACATATATTTGAAGGAAAAACACAAGGGTTGTGTCATTTGGACCTGTGTGTGTGTGTGTTTTTTTTTTCTGCCATTAAAAACTTTTTTTTTTTCCTAGCTGGGCACAGTGGTGCTTGCTTGTGATCCCAGTGACTTAGGAGGCTGAGGCAGAAGTATTGTAGGTTCAAGGCCAATCTGGGAAACTTAGTGATCCACTGTCTCAAAAAATAAATAAAATAAAATAAAAAGAGGGGATAGGGGTGTAACTCAGTGGCAAATTCCCCTGGGTTCAATCTCTAGTATCAAAAGAAAAAAATTTAAAAAAGACTTGCCAGTGCCTTGGGATCCCCAAGAAAATACTTAAATAATTATTTTTCCTTATTAAAAAGTTGTTTTACATACATTTCATTATGAATTTTAGTAAAGGAGATTTCTTCCACATTTTTCTTGTAATAGACAAATGTAATCATCTTTACACGAAATAAGAGAAATAATGTTGAAAAAAATGGTAAAATAATTTTAAAATTAATGGTAATACCACAATATTAATGGGAACTTGGAGTAAGTACCACGAAGGCTGACTCTCAGGGTTCATCTGTAAGTCCTTCACAATGAGATGAAATGTGGTCCTTTAGTCTGAAACATGCAAACCTGTTGCATCACAGGTAAGTTTATATATTTATGCCATATTGACCGTGTTTGTGTCACATCCTTACACAGACAATTTGCGAGATCCCGGTCATTCCATTTGTTGTAATGGCTGTGTATTCTTTTTCCAATGATCTGCTTGAACCAGATTTTATTGCTTTGATCTCTTTACATCACTGACTATCCATCCCCATTCCACTAGATGGCACTCTTATCCATGAGATTTACTACCAACATACATACTTAAAGAAGTGGCCAAGCCATGGAATGGGTTGTGTATTCCTGAGAGGATGAAATGCTTCTGAGTTGCTGGTATCCATGTTCATCTATTCCCAAGTCAGGCATGAAGATACCATTTCACTACCTGCCTGTTTTTTAAAGTCTCATAAACGTTCATTGAATATGTATTCTATGTAAGGTACTAGGGTAGGCATGGAAGCAAGATTTGAGCTAAACCACAGCCCTGACCCTTCATGAGATAACAGTTTAGATGGCATAAGAGCTAGAGGAGCTATCTGTGTCAAAGAGAATACTTCTAATTAGAGGCTCCACATGACTTGAGGCTCTGAAGGTTTAGGGGGGCCGGTCCATGATCCTAATTTGTGAGGTTGTTGTCACAGGGTGAGGGGCCACCTGGCATGCTGTGAATGAAGAAACCAAAATCATTGCACTGTTTCATTGGCAGACCCCCGATGCGTAGCCCTGGAGACCAAGAGAAAAAAGCAGTGACCGTGAATGCTTCTTCATATTGCAGGAACTGACTGGGTTCTCCCATAGTTGATAGAGACAGATCAAATGTGCCTGCCCCACTGTAACAACAAGGAGTGGGAATATATATAGCTCCTTCATTTTTTTTTTACATTTTTGGAAAATAGCAAATTATATTTAAAAATAACACCCATTAAAGTAATCATTACCTGTTTTCCTGTCAATAGGAGTTTATATTTCTTAACCTCTGGATTTTCCTGTTTAAATTTTAAACAAAATTACACAGATTTATTATATCATTATATTTATTATATACATATTTATGTGTATTTATTACATTGTTATATTGTTCCTTTTTGGATTGGTTTTAGTCTGTGTTCCATCATTCATCCAAAACCAATTCTTTTTAAAATTGTAGATAGACACAATATCTTCATTTTATTTATTTATTTATTTATTTATTTATTTATTTATTAATTAATTATGTGGTGCTGAGGATCGAACCCAGTGCCTCACACATGCAAGGCAAGCGCTCAACCACTAAGCTACAACTCCAGCCCCAAAACCAAATCTTGGATTTAGTTTTTGGTTGCTAGAATGCTCTGATATAAATGCCTTATAGCACAACTGTAGCAGAAAGAATTGTTATGTTTTTCTATATTTTCTCCTTGCTCCTTAAATGCACACTTAAGTTTTACTTTTTCTTGAGTTTAAAATTACATTGTAGAAAATGTGTAATAATTGGGAAGATGAAAATAATCAAATCACCTGTGGTCCTACTGCTTGGAGAGAACAACAATTGATGTTCATTTTGGTATATTTCCCTCTAGTGTTTTTGAACATATTTAAAAAGTTATCTTTGTATTGAACTTATTATTTTATAATCTGTATTTTCACTTACTTTTCTAGCTCTTTATATGTTTTGCTACTTCAGGATTGTTAGAGTATAAATTTCAAAAAAATTTTTAGTTGTAGATGGACATAATACCTTTATTTTGTATATTTATTTTTATGTGGTGCCAAGGATCAAACCCAGTACCTCACACATGCTAGGCAAGTGCTCTGCCACTGAGCCACAACCCCATCCCAAGAATATAAATATTAAAAGACACTCTTTATTGCATTTTTCTTTAACATGTAATACATGCTTATTATAGAACATGTAGAAAACACAGATATACCAAAAAGAGAGCATCAAAGTCACTCATACTCTTTCTATTCAGAGATAACCTCTATTAACATTTTATCATAACCCTCCAGTCTTCTTTTCTCTATCCTCTGCATACTCTTCCATAAGCTTTTTACTTAATGAACTTCCTTTTGTCATTCAATTACACCTTCAGTGGTTGCATTCATTTCATTGTATGAAAGTATCACTTTTTTAAAAAAGCAATCTTCTACTATTTGACATTTAGGTTATTTTCTTCTTTTCCTCTAATATTAACAACACAGATGAGTATTCTGTGGCTAAGTCCCTGAAGAAATCCTTGTTGTTTCCTTTGAATAATTTTCTATATATGTAGTTGTTGCCTCAACACATATCACATTTTAAGGCTTTTGATGGGTATTGCTAAAAGACCCTATAATAATTCTTATCTTAGAGGTAGTGCATGGACATACCTTTTTTTCCCGAATTTTTTGTTTTACTATTTTGTCAATACGACTACAA